CCATAATATAGCTTTATGGTGGAATAACTTAATTTTTTCCCTGGACAAAAAAAAAAAAAATCATGACAACCAGCCATTAACACCTAACCCTAGTTCAATGAAAGGAATGCAAAAGCAGAGTGAATAAATTTTGCACATTTTATACAATTCCAACTTAATAACATGCTTAAAAAGATGGAAGTATGCACTACATGATCACTCTTCACAACCCATTATGTGAAAAACATGTCCACAACAATAAAATTTGAAAAAAAAAATTAAAAATTTACCATACACAAGTTCAAGAAGACAGCCTCATAGGTGACATGCATGCAATATCTTCATAAATTTCATCATATTCATGGCTATTTTCAGTAGACATTGTAGAAGTTGACTATTTGGGTTCGTATCATGAAAGAGAGTGAAGATGAAGTGATATTGTAACTAACAAAATGATTTTTAAAATGCAAAGATAGAATTGGACGAAATCGCCCCAGTTTAAATTGGTCAAAATTTGCCTTTTTTCAATTTATGAGGTCAACTAATGATGAAACTGACATTTTTCGTCATTTTCGATTGCAACTACGAATTTTTCAAATGTTTGGGACCTATGGTGGCACAAACTGGAGGTTGAGATAAAGTCCGCAAAAAGGCAACAAATTTGGACTATGGCTACAATTTTCCCTTAAAATATTACCTACTAAACATTTAAAATTATAAAATAATATATTTATTTAATAATTACTACAATTGGTCAATTATACAATTTCCAAATTTTCAAAATGAAAAATATATTGTTTTTCATATTTTCAATTTTCAACTAAACAAATTCTACTTAATAGATTATAGGAACTCTATACATAATTTCAAAGTTTTTAACAAAATAATAAGTCTCAAAATTATAATTACATAATGTAAATACCACAGTAATTTAAATTTTATCTAACTATTTATCAGATAATGTTATTCTTGACTTTTGTACGAATAAAGTCATTCAAAAATTTGAGACTAACGTCAAATTAAATGTTTTTAGTAAAAGGGAAATTTTTTAAAAAATTAATAAAATAAACTCAAATAAAAGACTTTTAGAAAATGAAAAAAATAATTAATAAGGCGCGCTTAGTCCACGTCTAGTCGCACCTAATTGCTTACTGTCAAGGCGAGGTGTTTAGCCCGTACGCGAGCCTAGGCAGTGTTTAGCCACGTTTTTTAGAACACTAGTATACACTACATTATATAACATTAAATTTTGAAGAAAAAGGACACAGAGAAAAAAAAATCTTTTGTTCACGTCTATATAATGTACAATGAATGAGCCTCGTTGACAAAGAGGATGTCTTATTTGCTTACCACATGCTCAAAGCTTACTCCTAATGGGTTATGAGAAATAATGAATGAAATTAAGTTCGAACTTATTTAGTTAAATTATAGGTTCCTTGGTGCACTCTTGGTGTCTCTCTTCGTGACTTCATT